CAGAGGAGATTATTTTAAGAATGAATGTCTGCTCCACATCAGCTTACGATGAAGAAATACCAATTTACAGAAGCTGGAAGGAGGAATTAATGAAAGTATGCATTGAGGCTCAACAAGATCGGGATATCAACGAAGAAAAGAGGAGGCGCAAAATAGCTAGCAGGAATATTGGTGCAGTTGCAGGTGGGATTTGCACTCTTATGGTTCCTGTAGTTGGCCCATGCATAGGAACAACAGTAGGAGCCATAATTGGATTGAAATTAGGAAGAAAAAGCTTTGAGAGATCAATGAAAAAATCAGAAGTAGAGAAGTATAAGAAAGACACGGTCGATTTTGAGAAAAGAAAAGATTTTGACTTTCTTTCAAGACACCATTAATTCTGCATAACTATTATGTCAATCTTATTATGTAGGTTATCAAAACAATTGCTTTGTTCATTGTTCATTTATTGTTCTTTCCTAAAGGCCTTCATACACGAGGCAACTTGTTGCTAGCAACCAAGCAACATGTTGCCAAAAATAGAACATCTTTCTATTTCTGGCAACATGTTGCTTACAAGATCAAAGTAACCACAAATGTTGCCAGCAACATGTTGCCTAGTGTATGGAGGCCTTTAGTAATACAATCAATAGTAATTTACATCTACAACTATTAGAGTAATTATCTACATATATTTGTAGTAACAGTGAATCCTTAAAGTGATTCCCCAGATATCAAAACATGTTTGTCACACACACACTGAGACCACAGTCACCACACCTAAACAAGAGTCCTATATTCAGGGTCGTGGCAGAAGGAGAAGACATAAAAACTTGCAATGAAGAAGTAATGCAACAAGAAGACACAATAATGCAAGATACAAAACAACAACCAAAAAAGGATCCTCTTACTATCATAGTGATAGGTAGGACTGGAGTTGGTAAATCAGCACTTATTAATTCATTACTGGTAGATACTATAGACAGGGAAGCAATAGTCACAGATGGTCTACGACCCACTGACCATGATATATTGGAGAAGCATGAGGGATTGTTCTGTGGAGAAAAACTGCACGAGTTGTGATATATGACACTAAAGGACTAGGAAATCCAGAGTTATATGATGATGACCTCATGAAGCATTAGCTGCATTACCTAGCTGCTATAAAGAAGCAGAGCAGTCGTTTGATCGTACTTATACGCCAAAAGTTAAAGTGATTGGCATACAAGTTGGTATGACTGTTGGGGGGTTTGATTGGTTAGAAAATTGGAGACAGTTTATACAAGCTAGGGAGCAGTGAAAGAGGCAGAGGAAAAGAAGTTTGAGAAGAGGTACCTATAAAATGACCTCTACTATAGTATAAAATTAATGCCCTATAACTGAATTACATAATTAATGTTGCTATTTTTGTTTTTATTGTTTCTAAACTGTAAACCATAAGATAATTATATTTAGCTATGGCCACTTATATTTAGCTATGGCCACAGCAGGCTAAGGGAAATAGTAAGCTATTTGTCAATGCTAATAATTTGTGCAGCATATAAGTATAGGTGTGAGAATGGATGGCATATCGAACTAGACATTAAATGTGCTTGAATTGGTTGTTAGTCAATTTAGAAAAATTAAATTTATTATGACTAATTTTAAACAAAATAATTGTATAAGTGAATTAAGGTAAATTATAATGCTAAGCCAGCGTACTGTCAATTTTTAATCAAAAGTGTGGGTAATTTGACCTTCTTTTCAACCAAATTCTATTCCAGTATCAATGTAATGTTAGGCCTAATGTGCTATTGCAATTCCACCTTTAGTGCAAAAAGATTAATATTTCTAAAACTTTTTCATTTCGGAAGCATATTTGGACCAAGGTTTATTACTTATTACCAAGACTTCTAAGGTTAACGCTCCTAATAAGAGCCTTGAAAATTACATGTATGCTGCATTATGAAAATAGCCTGCATTATTCTCCTAAACAATAAATTATTGTGTAAATGTAAATTTATGTCATGTAGCAAACAAAAACTATATCATGGACTAGTTTTCATCTTCCTGGTTTCTTTTGTCTTCTTCTTTTTGATACAATTTCGCAATTTCTTCGATTTTCTTGTTTTTTTCTTTTTTTTTAATTTTTTTCATATAAGATTTCTTCCCAACATACCATCCTGCTCCAAAACCAATTGGGACACCAGCCAGTGGTAGGACTATACCACCAACAGTTGCTCCTATTACTGCACCACGAAGTTTCCTTCCAGATGATGCGGAATATTTTTGAGCCTCGTCAACTGACTTGCATTTTCCAAAGAGTGGTTTGATCCAATCTTCTAAGTCACTGCCATTAAGCCCAGCAAAGCAAACTGGTCGTTCTGAGATGATTTTTCCAGGGATGCCATACTCGCACAAGCACTGACGAAATACTATTTTCCATTCTTCACTGTAGACTCTTAGTTTAGTTTTTGTAATAGTCCCATGGTCAACTTCGTCACTAGTTTCCTTATTCTTGTACTGGTTAGCTTTTGTCAGCACAAAGATGCATTTTTTCCATGTGTTGTAACTGTCTCCAAAGTGTCTTGCTAGAAGCTTTGCAAAACGGCGATTAGTATCATAACTTTCCCCTAACTTTTGGCATATAAGTACAATCAAACGATTGCCCTGTGTTTTTATAGCAGCTAGGTAATGCTTCATGAGGTCATCATCATCTAACCTTGGATTTCCTAATCCTTTAGTATCGTATACCACAACTTGTTCCCCACAAAACGATCCCTCATGCTTCTCCAATATATCATGGTCAGTGGGTTGTAGACCATCTGTAACTATAGCTTCTCTGTCTATGGTGTCTCCCAGTAGTGAGTTGACAAGTGCTGATTTACCAACTCCTGTCCTACCTATCACTATGATAGTAAGAGGATCTTCTGCTTTTGGTTGATCTGTTTCTTGCAGATTCTCCTCACCACCTTCAGCCATACTACTAAGTTTGAGTAAACTGAAGTCTAAACTAAAAACTGGTTTTCATAAAGCCCCTACAACAGCCTTACAACGGCAACAATTGTGGAGTTACCGAGTTAGAGCCAAAGCCTTTCTCTATAACAGTTGTATGCAGGCTAACCACAGAATCCTTGCAAAAGCCACAACTATAACTAGTGGTTAGATAGGCCCTGGCCCTGAGACTAGGCAGGGCCTGACAGCAATCTAACAGCATACTGAGCACAGTCACAACATATACTCAGATACTAGTGATCTATAATGGCAGAAAAACCGGACGAAGATGTAGAAACTGAAACCAGCACAATTGCAGATGAAGAACTCATGGAACTTCCTGTACCAGGGACATTGACAATTTTTGTAATTGGTAAGACAGGAGCTGGTAAATCACAACTCATCAATTCATTACTGGGAGAAGAAAAGGCACTAGTGAGTCATGGTTTACAACCAACTAATCATGAACCACTAGAAGAGTACAAAGGAATGTTCTACGGTGTACCTACTACTATTTACGACACTAGAGGAATAGGAGATCCAAACTCTGACGATAGTAAATTAATTAAGGAGTTTAAGAAAGGCATGAAATCAAAAGGAGATAGATATCTCATATTCATTTGTCAGGAATTTGCCCGGAGATTGGATAATGATGTTCACAAATTTTTGAAAGATTTGGCCAAAAATTGTAAAAGAAATTACAATGTTTGGAAAAAGAGCATCCTTGTACTGACAAAAGCAAATTCATTTAAGCCACCCATACACAAATTAGCTTCTGACGGACAAAAGGAAATGCCTGATAATGATGTCAAAGGGGTAAAGATGAAGATGATAATGGAGGATTGGTGTATAAATGTCAAAAGTACCCTAACAAAGTATGGAGTTCCTGAGGAGATTATTTTAGGAATGAATGTTTGCTGCACATCTTGGTATGATGAAGAAATACCAATTTACAGAAGCTGGAAGGAGACACTAATGAAGGTATGCATTGAGGCTCAACAAGACTGGGATATCAACGAAGAGAGAAGGAGGCGCCAAGTAGCTGCCAGAAATATTGGTGCAGTTGCAGGTGGATTGGTCTCTATAATTGTACCTGTAATTGGCCCATACATCGGAACAACATTAGGAGCAATAATTGGAGCAAAATTAGGAAGAGGAAGCTTTGAAAAATCAATGAAAAAATCAGAAACAGAGAAGTATGACACTGAAGCAATCAATTTTAAAAAAAAAGAAAGAAAATTTTTCTTTCTTTCAAAGTATTCAAAACATAATGACTAACTGTATTGTCCAGCTGTTTCTTTTCTAAATATTATTTCAGTAGAAAGACTTTTTATATGTGTAGCTCCTGTTCCTTTTCTTAATTTTTTAGTATTTTTACATTATTTAGCCTCCCCAGGCTTTGCATAAATTAAAGTCAGTACTAGATAGGGAAGCGCACATTAAGGACAATTCACAAGTGCTATATGTCTTGCATATAATAATGTCGATAGGGACTTTGGTTGTAATAGGAGCAGTGTGGATCAGCCTTTGCGCTGCCATAAAAATAATTATTCTATACATGCAAGTAGGTATTTTGTTTATAGTGTAGATGAATACACTCCAAGATGAAGCACGTCACAAATGCATGTAAATATCTCATATGCACAACTCTAACTTTAATATTCAATTTTGTAGAAAACATATTATGCCAACTTGTGTAGAGCCACAACTACTATACTAAATTAATTATACTACCCACAATGATAGATAAGATAAGGGGTATGGAGCAATAGCATCAACACAAGCCATATGACACAAACACAGCCTACATCAGTAATCAACGATGAAAAAGATAAGAATTGAATAAGTTCTCATCCTTTCTATTTCTTAACTACATGTATTTAACCTGCATTACACCAAAACATTATAAATGAATTAAGTACAATTATTAGTATGCATATGCTGCCCCCAGATATCAATTTTGCCCCTCTCACTAGAACTTTGAACCCTGAATGCAGAAATTTAAAACTCTTGCAGGCTCCAAAATGAAATAATTGAAGTACACTCACTTTTACTAGCTTTAGTCTCAAATCCAAATGATGTAGACATGACGTGGCTCTCATTAGACCCTGGCTATGATAGACATTCATTAATAATGAACTTAGTACACATTAATACATGTAGCTTACCAGTTCTTCAGGAAGCCATTTTGACTTGAGCCTACAAGATGGAAGGTCCCAGAGACAAATAGATCCCGACAGACTAAGAGTTGCCAGTAATGATCCACTAGGACTCAGTGATACACTGTACACCCAATCCTATAGAAGTACATGTACATGTAAATAGGATTGAGAAAAAAGAAGTGAATAGTATAATCTTACAAGCAAATCAATCAAAATTAAAGTGCATGTGGACAATAATATTATAACAAGTTTATATAATTTTTACATCATTAAAAACTTTCTTGTTCACCAATGATTGAAAGGCACCTCTTTTTGACTACAACAAAAATTAATAAAATATAATTTAAATTATTTTAAATACTTTTTCAATTTGATTATCAGCAGCTGGTATCCAGTAAGGAGAATCATTAACTAACCTCCAACAACTAACCAATGGAGACTCTATAAAGAGAGAAAGTGGAAGTACCGTATAGCGGGAAATTTTGGAGGGAATTAAATTTGGCGAATTTGGTGTTTTGATAGCCATTCGCCAAAATAAAATCCGCCATTTTGAGCTTTTATACGCATGCTCAATGCACGTGGCCACTAATTCGCCAAATTAAAATCCGCCAATAACCAAAATTTAGCAATTCGCCAAATTTTACTCCCTCCAAAATTTCCTGCTATACGGTAACTAAAAATTTTAAAAAGTGGTAGCATTAATTGCTAAATTTGCAATTGGACCAAAATCCCAGCGGTCAATTATGTCACCTTAATAATTACAATTATTGGCAGATAAAAAAGTTAAACTGAATTGTAGAATTATGTACTAGTAATTAAAAGTACCGCATTTGCTCGATTAAACACCCGGGCATTTATTTCTTAACAGGAAAAAAATCAGGTAAAAAAAACAAAAAAGCCTATAGTGAATTTGAACTCGCGACCTTCTAGCATTCCAAACTATACTCCAACCCAAACTGTACTCCAACAGTTAGGCTATCTGGCACAATCTAAATCCTATGGCACATACACTGGCTAAAATATGCGTATTTATAGTTAGAAAATATTTGTCATGAGCGTTTATTTAAGCAGGGCACTTATTCGAGCAAATATGGTACATGTAAATATCAATTTTTACCAATACCTTTAGCATCACTCCATCCAGCTATTACAATCACATTAGAGTCCGATAAATATTGTATGCCGCCAGCACCATATGGGAAATAATCCAATAGACTAACACTGTGCAATAATATATACCTCTTATTCTGCCTATAGTATAATAGCAAAGATATATCATAACAGATGCTGTACATATTAATTTAGTGGTGATTTTGCTATAAATTTTTTATTTGGTAATTTTTGTACATGTGTATGCATTACAAGCATGTACATGCACATATACATGTAAAAGTACATCAATTAATCGTAGTTTAATATTGGGGGATTTTGATCACACATTGTCAATCACCACAATAAAAATCTGTCACTACATTAACTATCATGCAAGTATCTTATCTCATTCACTTACTTCAAACAGTATGTGGTAATCTGTGCTTCATAACTCATCACTATCAGTAATGTTGAATCAGCTGAAGTATTACTGCTAGCAAAACACATCCCAGATAGAGCAGTCATTAGAAATGGAGTGGGTCTCTCTGATCCACTACCACTTAATGCTACACCTCCTCCAGTCCCTGAAAGCTGATACAATACCTCACCATTATAGCTATAAACTGTAATATGACCTTGACTAATGATAGAGAGAGAGAGGGAGAAAAAGAAACATACAGTATATGCTGGCTTATTTTGGTGGTAAAATATTTTCACAAATTTCAAGTTTTTGCATTGTCTCCATTGCTTTGCAAGCTATTCGCAAAATTTATTCTGCAAAATTTTAGAAGTGCAGAATTCACAAAAAAATTGACTGCAAAAATAAACTGGCATATGGTAAGCAAGTACATGTGCAAAGGGAGAGACTTTGAAAATAGAATAAGGTATACATGCATACATGTACATGTGCACCTACATGAACATTACCTGTTGGCATAAGCTAGTGATGTGCCCTGTGGTGACCACACACTATATCTCCACTGTGGATATGGGTCTGATGACACTATAAAAATTAAAGATTAACTAATGTGTCCCTCATGCTTTAAAATTTGGTCAAAAACCCTGTACTATAGTACAGCCAATTCTTTCAAAAATGACTAGTAAAGAATTTTCCATTTTTATAATTTTTCCTGATACACATACATGTTCTTATGTTGCGTAGAAAGTTTGAGCTAATTCTGATCAAATTTAATTTTTTTTCGAATTTTTAAAGTTGCTCAAAAATCGGGCCAAAGTCCCTGTACTATAGCACAGGGTTGTTGGCCAAATTTTGTCAAAAATGAAAAGTAGAGAATTCTCCATTTTTATAATTTTTCCTGATGCATATACATGTTCTTATATAGTGTAGCAAGTTTCAGCTGATTTCCATCAAATTTAGATTTTTTATTGAATTTTTAAAAATTGACATATAGATACTGTGAGGGCATTTTGTCACAATAATACACAATTACCTTTTATTGAAGCACGTGCTGTAGTAAAATCATCTAATATTGATCTAAAATAAAGTAAATAAAATTATTATACTAATATAATCAGTAATCATCATGTATACATGTACATGAACATACCTTATCTCAATGACTGATTCCTGTACCACTGCTAACTGACGTCCATCACTAAAAACCAAAAAACATGAAGAACACTTATACATGTAGTACATGTACACACCTGCTAAGTACGAGTTGCCATGACAACCGACTGTTCAAGAGGTCAGATAAGACTGAAGGTGGCTGTGATGATAATCCTAACAACCTATAAAAGAATATACTGAGGTATACTGAGTTATACTAGAGTATACTGAATTATAACAACTCCTGATTATTCGTACCTTGTTGGGCTTTTCAGAACAGCTAAAGCAAACCAACTACAAGCTAAGGAGAAATCATAAAAAATTAACATAATACATACAAAAATTTATAGGAATTATGGAGGGAATTAAATTTGGTGAATTGGCATTTTGATAGCCATTAGCCAAATTAAAATCCACCAATCACTCAAAATTTAGCAATTTATCAAATTTTACTCCCTCAAAAGTTTCCAGCTATACGGTACTAACATTATTCATAAATACACTGGGACATTCTGCAATTTTTGTGGCTTAATCAAAAGCTATTATTATATTTTTCTTTCCCTCTACCTTTGTATAGCACTGTATGTATGCTTACCATTGAGAGCAGCAGTGAGTATCTTGTAGAGTGACTGGTGATCATTTTCATTCTACAATACATAAATTATGGATATAGAAGAAAGCATCAGTTACTAAAAGTATATTTACTAATATAAGGAGTGTTTCTGGCCACTCGTAAGGTATGTCCAGGTCGTATAGAATTCTTTTCTCTTCTTTCTTTGAAGAATCTTCCGCCATTTTATCTGATTAGAATTATTAATTAAACCTAAATACTAGACCACGCATTTAATTATTATTATTATTGATTACAACTAAACAAGTGTAGTATGATCATAGATGTGTGGTCCTTCTGGTGTGGCCCGTCTAAATCTAACAAAGAAACCACAGATGAAACCAGGCTTGAAGGAATCAGTTTTAATGCTGATTAATGTTGCATTACTATTTGTGGGGCCTATTATCATATTTATAACTGTCTTACTATACTCAGTCTTAAAACTGATGTTGGGTGCTCTCACTGATTAAATTTTATGTACTGACTGAGACTATGGAATTAGCAGGAACAGCTAGATCTAAACCCGCTGCAGAAATTATAATTTTCTTTTTATTCATTGCAATACAATTCAATAGTAAGTTTGTGCAGTTTTGCATGCATCAGCACTTTATTTTGCTATAGATGTATCTGCAGCCACTGCTCCTAGCAACCTCTCTTCTTATGGAAGCGACTTTTATTTGGCATTTCCAGGAAATATCTATGCTTATGGAGAAAGAAGGCTTAACCTAACAGTGCACACACTCGTGAATGCATCAGTCCATTACAGCATTGAGTCTCTTGATCAAGGCTTTAGCTACTCTGGTACAACCACTGCAGGAAATCCTGATGTAGTTGTTATACCATTGACTTATGAGGTCTTGTTTTCTAACTATTCATACCGAAAGTTGGGCCTGCATATTACATCACCTGAGACTGACCCTGTATCTGTTGTTGCATGGAATGATAATTATGTTTATGGCTACCTTTCATTTCTTGGGCTTCCGTGTCACATTCAACCAACAAACCAGTATGTATATTATGCAGTTTCATCTCATGGTATTAGGGAATTATATGGTTATATCGTTCTTGTTGGATGCATGAATAATACCAATGTCATGTAATACCAACTCAATATGCTAACATTACAATGTCAGCTAACCCACAATCACCATACAGTACAAATAAGACATATCAAGCGGGAGAAAACAACACATTTGTCATGCATGCAGGAGAAACTATAAAAATAATTCAAGCTTTTGCTGATATTTCTGGTACTAAAATAATTTCTGATGCTCCATTAACAGTTATTAGTGGACATACTGCTGCTGAGATTCCATTTGGAATAGATGATTCTGACCCTATAACAACACAAGTCCCTCCTACTATCACTTGGGGTAAAGATTTCCTTCTGTCTCCTTATCACAATAGGAATACTATAAGTCAGTTTTACAAGATTATTGCCCATAGGGATGGAACTAATATTCAAAGGAAATGTGGAACTGGTCCTACAGTTAATGCCACTCTCTCCTCTGGCCAAGTCTATCAGTTCAATACCTCTAACACTTTTTACTGCAGTCTTGTAGCTAGCAGACCAATATATGTGGCACATATTGGAGCAAGTAGATACTTTAATGGATTCACTTATGGTGACTCAACCCTTAACACAGTTCCTCCAATAAACCAGTACTTACACTCAATAGGATGCACATCATTGTTTACAGTCACAGTAATGAGTAGTGTGAGCCTGCTTGTACCAAATGATCAATTCTTTACTAACACCCTGACAATTAATAGTATCTTTTACCAAGTTGATTCATGGAACTCCACTATTTACTTTCCTAATGAAACAATTGCTGGTTATGGCCTTTATACTTCAATTTCTGGTACTCGTATATTCACCCACCCAAATAGTTCAGGTGGGCTATTTCTTTCAGTATATGGATGGTATGGAAACCGTGCATATGCTTTCTCATGCGGTATTGGTCTCAATCCAATTAATGAACTATCAGAAGTCAGTTTTGCTCAGGAGCTGTTTTTTGCTAGAGAAGGAGAAAACTACCTTGTTATTTCTTTGAACAGAAGTGTGAATGTTGAGGAAGAAGTGTCAGTGAGAGTGAGTGTCACTCCTCAACAAGTGGACTACACATCAGAAAGTAAATAATGCATGTAATTCCAATGCTATTCATGCATGCAATTATCATTATTTGTACACAATGTAGATGGAGATATTCATTTGTTGACAAATGAGGTGGTCACATTTAGATATGGAGAGACGCTACATAATGTAACAATTGCTATTATTGATGACCTCTATGCTGAACCTACTGAGTATTTCAGTGTGGCACTAGAGGCTGTTGGACAAGATGCTCAGTATTGTCTTTTCAATTGCAGACTGTACAATTGAAGTATATGACAATGATTGTAAGTATGACATAATAACTTTCTGTTTCAGTATTTTTTGACACAGATATACAGATTGGTTTTAGCAACTCATCACTGATTATTGATAGTACAGAAATGACTCTTGCCGTGTCTAACTATCATGGAATAATGCAATCAGGAGAAATATCAACTGTTCAGTTGCAAGTTGAGAGTTTTTCAGGTATAATAAACATTCTATTATGCCCACATATTGCTTGATTTTAGCATGATTTCAGGTTTATCAAGCCAAAGTTAATAAGTAATTAGTGGGAGGTTCACAAGTGAATTTGAATGGCAAATTGCCGATTTGCCATATATTTTAGTTTGTATGGGCGTATGAGTAATTAATATCCCAGATGTATAGCCCATTTTACTTAATCTTATTCAGTTATTCTTAATCCTTTATTATTTTGTCATTTATAATAGGTGAAGCTTTAAATGTCACTCGCTTTGATTTCTATAATTACAGTGAAAGCTACAGTGCAACCCTTAATCTCTCTCGCTTTCCTTTCTCTGATAATATACTGATAGGGAGACTTGCTATTCGTATATCAAACATTAATGTAACAATAGAACCATCTATTATAACAGTTAGCTATAATCCTCAAAGTTCTTATGCTGCAACAACAACACCTGTCATTGGCATGGCTTCCAGTGAAACTGTTTACATAACATCCACTCCTACAATTCCTTCACAAAGTTGCACACCAACAGTTTATACAAGCACACTAACAAAATCTGTTACTGGTTCTTGTAGCTGCACGGCAATTACGAACACAAGCCCTTCATTAATTTTTTCTAAAGTAACAGTAACAGTTGAGAACAGTGCATCGTGTTCCTCTGTAGTGCCAACAACACAACCAAACCAGTCCTCGTTGAACTCAAGTGTAGTTGTTGGAGGCGTAATGGGCTACGTCATATTTTTAATTCTCGGCGTCGTTGGTACCGTAGGTGGGTTTTTCTGGGGGAAAAGCACAAGACAGACAATAGCTTCAAATAATGGACCAGTTATTATCAGTAATTATAAAAGTCATGGAAATGCAATTGAGCCCAAGAGCAAAAATCAAACCCTTCCTCTACCTATGCTTCCACGACCACAAGGATGTCAAATTAATGATAATGGTGAAGCGATTAATGATGAGATTTACACGGAAATGGATAATTTCCAGGAAGAAAAAAAATATGAAAACCCTGAAGAAATTACAGATACGTACATTTAAACAGAACTATTTTTGCTGGGTGAGATAACAATTCCAAGTTTAGTTCAGGAATAGAATAGTAGTAGTCTAGAATTTAGTTGCATGTAGCTTTAGATTTTGAACACATAATTTTATGCTAGTATGATTTTTAATGACATTTCACTGCCATGTCTTTTTAATACTAAACGGCTACATATTATACCACTGTAGTGTTGTAGATCTTTATATTTCTTTTCACAATAATTTTCTTTTTGTAAAGTGGCTTTAAATGGTAGCTTTGAAATTATAATTGATTATTAGGACAGTCAATTGATTACCGTATTAAGACAGTCTGATTCACTGGACATGACATGCTAGAGAAATGAAAGAAATGAGAGAAGTTAACATACCATACAGAAGAAAATTTTGGAGGGACTAAATTTTGGCGAATTGCTAAATTTTGGTGATTGGTGAATTTTAATTTGGCGAATTTGTGGCCATGTGCCATTGAGCATGTGCATAATGGCTCAATGGTGGATTTTTATTTTGGCAAATGGCTATCAAAACGCCAAATTCGCCAAATTTAACTACCTCTAAAATTTCCTTCTATACAATATTAACAGGCAGACATGTTTAAGTGGTGTGTGCATGTGTGTGCGTGCATGCTTTCATTGATGGTGGATTTCAAACCAGAGGCAGATGAAGGAAAGGATGATGACCTTTGATAGCTGGGAACTTTCTTCTAAAAGAATAATCATAGCAACAGTAATTAATACTGAAAATGTATTTTTAAAAGCATAAGAAGTATATGACTGTGTGTATGCCAATAGTTTTGCAAAAATAAATACTATTTTTCCTTACTTCTAATAAAATGGTTAGCTCTTCTCCTCTTTGAAGAAATACTTGTACCTACAAAAGATTGAAATGGGAAATTGAAGAATGCTGTTGTACTTCTGAGGCTATTAATTTCTTCTTTTCAGGACTATCAGCCTCTAATAGGAAACAAGGTAAAGAAATTATACATTTACATGTACACAAGATGAATGCAATAAAATAAAAATTAAATAAAATGCAAAATAAAGAAATAAATAATTAAGCATTTTCTATGTTGTTACTTTCTATCAATGCTAAAAGTATCTTTATAAATCTCACATGCAGAATGATATGAATGTCTATCCTCCAACTGATCAGCTTCCTCAATTAGAGAATGAACATCTTTTAACTGGGAAAACTCAGCTTGCATCTCTTCTAAATAATACAAAAAACGGATTCCATAAAGATTTATTAAATTGAATATTCACACTTCTAAATGACTAACCTAGTATTCTCTTCCTATTCTCTCCTGCAGTATCTCTCAGTGAGGGTTTTTGTGTTCTAACTAGTGACTTTAAATACTCAGCTCTAGCAATATACTGCTCTATCTAATTATAAGTTAGCAAATAAAAGAATATCAAACTAGAGTCACACCATGTCTTTTAAACTTTCCTTAGTACGATAATCTTCTTCATCTACACAAAAGGGGCAGTGCAAATGAAAATCAATTATTGGTATTTTTATTAAAATCTAGAGCAGATATGAAATAGTCCAATGCTTGGCAGCTAGTAATAATTAACTGCAGAACTGTACTTTCCATCACTGTCTTTAACCACAGCTTGCTTTACAAGCTGAGCTCTCTATAAAAATAAAATAAAAAATTATGTGCTGCATAACTAGTATAAAGATTAATTCATGCTTGAAATTTAACTTAAGGTAAGGCCTTAAGTCAAGACAGGAAGTGCTGTATAAACCAATGGCCAGAGTTAACTTAGCATAAGGATAAATATTACTCCTTTCCTTATGTTAAGTTAACTCTGGCCATTGGTTTATACAGCACTTCCTGTCTTAAGGCTAGCTTAACTTAAGTTTCAAGTCCTCATAATTCACTTACAGCTTTACTGAGGCACTCTGGCCCTAGCATATGCTCAAGGACAGGGATCTCTCTGACAGGGATCTCTCTCCAAGAGTCCTTGGAATACCTCCTTACACTTTGAGGAAGTTTCTGGGACAGAAGGGATCTAATAAATCAAGTTTAGCCATGTGTATCATTTTAAAGGGGTTTAATATTTTACCACAATAGGAGTGTCGTTGAGAACTCTTAAATGAAGCTCTTCTATTGTGCTTGAATGATAAGGAGCAAATCCATACAAAATTTCTAAATAAAGCAAAGATGATTGTATTAGCTAAAACCTAGTCCATTGCTATATTCACATGTATGAACAGTGAGAATATAAACTAGGCATTTTATTTTTATTTTGGATGTAAAAATTTAATTAAAAATTTTACCAAATAGAATGACTCCTATAGACCAGAGGTCAACTTTTGCATCATAAGTTTTACCAAGCATAACTTCTGGAGCCTGTGAAGTGATGAATGTACAAAATAATGATCATTTGTATTTTATGGTAACTGACTTTACCATGTATAATGGTGATCCTCTGAATGAAGCACCGTGATCATTGTCTTTTAATAATTGAGCCATCCCAAAATCTAGTACATAAAGTGATTCATTCACACATGTACAATTTTAAAGATGCTTCAAAAAATCGGCTTGAGTGTCTGTACTATAGTACAGGGTCGTTGGTCATATTTCATCAAAAATGAAAAGGTGAGAGTTCTCCATTTTTATTACATTTTCTGATGCATATACATGTACTTATGTTGCATAGAAAGTTTGAGCTGATTCTGATTAAATATGGATTTTTTATGAATTTTTAAATTCACTCAAAAATCGGGCCAAAGTCCCTATACTATAATAGTACAGGGTCATTGGCCAAATTTCGTCAAAAATGACAAAGTGAGAATTCTCCATTTTTATTACATTTTCTGATGCATATACATGTACTTATGTTGCGTAGAAAGTTTGAGCTAATTCCGATCAAATATGGATTTCTTATGAATTTTTAAAGTTACTCAAAAATCGGGTGAAAGTCCCTGAACTATAATAGTACAGGGTCATTGGCCAAATTTCATCAAAAATGAAAAAGTGAGAATTCTTCATTTTTATTACATTTTCTGATGCATATACATGTACTTACACTGTGTATCAAGTTTGAACTAATTCCGATCAAATATGGATTTTTTATGAATTTTAGAAGTTGCTCAAAAATCGGGTAAAAGCCTCTGTACTATAGTATAGGTTTAGCCAAATTTTGGGAAAAATGACTATGAGAGAATTCTCCATTTTCATAATTTTTCCTGATGCATATCCATGTTCTTAGGCTGTGCAGCTGATTCCGATCAAAATTAATTTTTTCACAAATTTCTAAAGTTGTTTCCAAAAAACATATACAGTAAATATGTACATTTTAATATAAAAATACCAGACATGGGGTAATAGTAATAGATAATAGTAATAGTAATAGTAAAGATTACATGTTTTAAAGTAATTGTAATAGTAATAGTAATGGAGGAATCAAAAAACCAAGTAATAGTAATTGTAATAGTAGGAGACTGTTAAAGGGAAACAGACATCCAAATTAAGTTTTTTATTTTATGGTCTTAATATGATTGCCTGACCATTTTAATAATGTGTTCCAACTTCCATAGTCTAAAAAATTTTATTCACTGAGATATGAGCCTTCAAAAATGCCCTTTTTTGCTTCTTGC